CTCTCTACTCTACAAACCAAGCAGCCACACAACATACAATCACTTGTCCTGTATAATTACATACCCGGCCGAAGGAAAAGCTGGAGGGTGGCAAGGACGTTTTGGGCCTTCAGCCAAGCAATGTCATCCTTCCGAAGGCTGTTTCGGGTGGTTGCTTAGAGCAGAGAGATTCAACAACCACGACAATTGGTGCTTCAAAGATCCAAAGCCGGTCCTTTTGAGCTGATGGACAGGGCACATCTAACCTTTGCTGTTCACATTTGTTGACTGCCTTTGCACCCAAAAACAACAGACGCGAGACCTGCTGGACAGGGCACGAGGGTAGTGGTGGCGAACCTTGGAAAAGAAGAGTTCAATGGCCAGCTCTTCCCTCAGTTCGTTCCCCCCCGTCAACGGAACGAACGGAGCGAGTTCTGAGTTTTGGATGAGAGCTGTAGTCATACTCCGCTGAAGTCTTGGAATGCTGTCTCGCACAAGAGGCCCAACCGCTGTAGAATTCTATGCGGCAAACTTCTTACACACTGGCATCTTCATGTACCCCTTCAGTGGTGAGCAAACGACTTGCTCACTGACTCACCGAGGATGGCTCAGATCAACGAAGTGGATGAATCTGCGCAAAGATCCTTGGCTTAATCAAAGCTTCAACCCATCTCAACTCTAGACCCGGCTCAGACGGCCAACGATAGGACAATTGGAGACTCAATTTACATTCAGGCGAGTCTTGGTTGACTGAACCAAGGATACCAAGTGGCCTGCAAAAATGGGAAGGCCGCTTATTCATGCTAAACATGGCTCAAAAGCTTGAAATGCAGCGAGTTTTGTGGCAACTTAGTGGACTTGCTCAACGCATGGCCTGCTTTCGTTTGATGAGGATGTCAGACGTAGTTCTTTCAACCGGCAGGTCATAAAGATCAAGTTTGAGAATGTCATTTGCTGACCAAGCTTCGCAACTCTTGGTGCGCTGCCTGATTGCGGAGAGTGAGGAATGCACGTGCAATAGTGCAATAGGGACCTCCAAGTGCCACCCTGTTGTTGGCATCTCTCTTGCTGTTAGCTTTTCTCTCTGGGAGCAAGGACGCTACTAGGGGCTCCTGGCATCGTACTAGGAGCAAGAAGCTACTGGGAGCCAAGGGCATCGCTACTAGGAGCAAGGACGCTGGCCATTGTGATACCCTTCCTGATCCGAGTTCCACGAACTGTTTCTCATCGACTCACTGAAGCAACCTCACCACTTCGCAACATCAGAGCGCGGTTTCCTGGTGCCACCGCTGCATTAGCAGCCGATGTTGGTAGTACTAGTAGTACCAATCTGCACTTTTCGCTTGCAGATCTTAGGGGCAGGCTTGCTTATGCAAGTCGCCCAAACAGTCGACTTGTTGAGAAGAGGTCAAGGTGCCCAACATGCCTACCATAAATGGTTTTAAACCGGTTTGATCATGTCTTTGTGTCTTCCATTCCAACAAGATAAATGAAAACAACGAACGATGGGCAGCAGCATCTTGGCAACTCTTCGCATGTGCCGCGGTGCCCGAAGAATCGGGCGCCTGTGAAAGACGGCGGCCATCGCACCGAAAGCAGCTCTGAAAGCACCGGCCTGGTCATGAAGCGAAGATGTTCGACCTTTCAGCGCCGGTGTTTTAATGGAAAAACACATCGCATCATACATGCTGACACACCATTGACATGCTGACAGTTGTGCTGCATCTTTTTTGAGTAAGAGAGTTTCCTTTAGGCAGCAGGTTCAATATCATCGGTTTGGTTGACCAGCTGGTGCTGAAGTGCTGTGGATTCGATCGGAGGTTTCCAATCCATTTTTCTTGTTGTTCTTTAACCGAGAATTCGAAGCCTCCGAAAATTGGCATTCGAGCCTGACCCAAAAACTTTAACTGGCAGCTTCTGCGCCGAAGAAAAGTATACTGATTCTGCTTCGCGAAGGAATCAGCTTGTTTGCAGAGCATTCCCCACTTACTAATTATTCCACAAACGAAATGCAGATCTGCAGATTGATCCTGACCTGTCCTGCTTTTCTCCCGGCCTTGTTACCAGAACAATCCATCCATCATGTCATCAAGGGTGCGTTTGAATGTTCTATGTGTTCCATGGCTCGGCTCAGTTGGTAGTTGAGAAAGATGGCACAAAAAGATGGAGAGTATGACACTCAGATTGAAGATGCTTGAGGAATTCCATGAGCACCATCATCAACCCTTATTGTGATCCCAAAACCTCAGTGCTGACTTGTCACGCCGCATCCAAGGTTGGTGATCAATGCATCCGGAGCATTGCAAAGCAAGGAGACGTGTCCAAAGAGCGAACTGGCTGATTTCCGCAGACGTTTGCAGACGTTCGCAGCAGCTTCTTCACACAGAAGTCAGCTTTGGTTTGTGATCCAGGAGGGCAATTGGGGTCCCGAAGTAGATCAAGTGGTGTGCGCAGCTTAGTTCGCCTTCTACCGGGCAATTTGCATCCGAATCGATCGCTGAGGACATCGGTTTGGCAAGTGCTCAGGGACATGAAGCCTGGCACTGAGACGGACGTCCTCTCACCTTGCACGTCGTCCTTTGGACGTCGTCTGACCCAATGAAAGCGGGGCCCAAGAGAAAATTGCTCTGAGGCACGTGGTGTCGTCCGCAGAGTCCCTGAAGCGGATGTCCATTTCCTTTGGCAGTTTGCATCTTAGAGATCGGAACAAAAGAGAAGGAGCTCAAGAGACATTCTATGGGGTAGGAACAAGAAGCTACTAGTGGCTCATGGCATCGCTACTAGGAGCAAGGACGCCACTAGGGGCTCCTGGCCGTACTACTAGGAGCAAGAAGCTATTAGAAATGAGTTTGACAGGTCTGCTTTAAGTGGCTTAGCTTGAGGTCGGCAGTACGTCATCACCGGCAAGGATGATAGGGATTGACAACAACGGCAATCAACACATAGCAAATATATAAACATAGTCTGTTTGGGGAAATGGATGAGAGTGAAGAGAGGTGCTGAAAGTGTGAAGATGATAATATGTGCTCCGACTGAGAAGCACCTGTGGGCAGGCTGAGGCCTGTCGGCTAGTTTCGACCTTTCCATACACAAGTGAGTATTAAAAACACGGCAATATGTATTAAGTAAGGAAGGTTCCCAGAGGTTCAGAAATCGCTTGGGCTTGGTATTCTGTTGTTTAACTTGGAGATGCTACCTTGTCGCACTAGCAAAACGCAGGATTGCGCGAGGTTTGCGGTGGGTTTGGCGGTAGGTTCAAGTGCTTAGGTAAGATTAACAAACAGCGCATACATACACTGGTAATTAAGCTTAAACCTATTAAGGTATGAACGGATAACCTGTGGGACAAAGCATTCTTTAGCTGAGTTCATGTATGTCTGTGTCTGAACACAGCCATTTTGGCTGTACTTGGTTTATGTAAGCAGGAGCACCCATCCATTGCGGGCATGTTTCCATTGCGGTTTGATCCTTCGTGCGTGGAAGAGCTATTGTACAACTATTTCAAAGCTTGGAAAGCCGGCCGGGCGCAAAGCGTGCTCTTGATCACAGCCGTTTGGTGGCCTGAGGCACTGGCAGGGGAGCGCCCCAGACCCGCGCTGGATGCGCGCTAGACCACTTTGCAACTTTGACCACTTGTCCAACTGCTTTCCAGGGCCACTACTCAATACACACAAGCGGATGGCCTGCACGACGTTGCGCTGGGGTGATGAGAGTGAGTGAAAAGACGAGAGGGGCAGCGGGGGTGGGGGTCACTGTATGCACGAATAAAGAGAATAATGATAGGAACATCATCTATCATGTCTTGACAACTTATTTCTTGTTATAAGAGGACTGCTACTTTCAGCTTCACATGTGGAACCGATTGGCCGAGTGCAGCTGTGAAAGGGACATGCACCTGTACAACATACAACCATGTAAATGAGCAGATGTTGGGCACATGAAGCCACCGCTTGGGATCGCTGTGACTTGAAGCTAGGATAACAATGACTTTGGAACGGGTTTCTTTTTCAGCAACCAATTTCCACTTGCAAAACATGTGTTGTCAAGTTGTCAAAGCTGGAGTCCGTGTATTTACACCTGGTTTGAATATTCACGAACCTTTTTCTACAAGTGTCCGAGTCGTTCTCCGCCGTCGAGGACAGTAGCTACCACGTGGTGCGGTGGAGCACACCATGAATCGCCTAACGAGTCTAACGAACTTCGATGGTCCACCACGGCCCACCAAAGGAGAACGTGACTCATAGAGTGATGACAAATGTATGCCAAGTGGTCTTCTTATGTTTTCTTGCTCCCTTGATATTCTTTGAGTTGTGTTGTAAATTGTTGCACCCCCAGAATGGTCGACGATCCCTCTGAAAACAAATAAAATAGTATCAAATACATCAATAATCAAACCTTCATGTCGAGTGTTTTGGAAAACTGCTCAGATGTTTTCAGGGCGGACGGATGAATACATCCAACATGATAGTAGGCACGTAGCGGCTTAGCCTTTGCGGGGAGAACAAACGGACGAACTTGTTACCGGAGAACTGAAGAATTGGAGTCTGAGTAAATGTGAATGCCACGCCTCCTTTGGGTTTGCATTTCCACTGGTTAGCTTCACTGGGTTAAAAACCACCCAGCCAGGCACAGAAGCAGAAAAAGTCGATAAAAGAAATGGACATGCCAAATGCAGCTGAATCATCATTCTTCAATGACAAATGTGTGCTTGTGCTTGTGCCATGTTTCGCAGACTGCAATGTGGCTTGCAAGTGGTTTAGACTAAAAGCAGGCTTGAAAGGTGACGAATGGAATGGATGGCTGAAGAAGGGTCAGCAGAAATCGACGGCAGACTAGCTGGGAAGCTGTTTTGCAAACAACGGATGTGAAATGATGTGTCTTAGTGCACCAAACCATAAGCCATGAGGGGGCTTCTGCAGAGGAATCAGACTCAAAGCAGCACTGCCCATGGACCAGCCACAAGCCAAGCAGCAGCTATGGCTATGCAGCAGCCAGCAAATTCACCAGTCAGCTCTCCAGCTGTGTCCACCTGGCCGAGCTCGCCATTGTGCCTCCAGTGTCGCCATGCCTCCTTCAGCCCTCTCAAAGCTGCAGTCAGCTGTGACGCAGGTGAAGCAGGTCGAACCCGGGCCTCCGACGGAATGAGGGTCATGCCGAATGAAAAAAACCAAGTTGGCATGGATATGTTGGCCTATGATCGCGTTAAAGCAAAATATGAGCCACATGGTCCTGGTCAATTGAAAATATTGTTCTTTTGCACTCCACAGGCTCCATCTCTCCCTTCCCTTGCTTGTTTCATGTTGTTTCATTGCCTGGTGATCCAGTGATCTGGGTAATCTTCCAGGTTCTTGTAGATTCTTTGCATCAAAAGTTCCATTTCTTGTGGTCTGGCCAGTCCGACGTGCTGAGATCCATTTCGGAATCCACTTCTGCTCAGGTCAACGTGCTGAAGTCAACACAAGTGGAGGACAGATCCCTTGAACCCCTTGAGCAACAGTGTGGACCACTGATCAAGAGCTTGGCCACCATGGCCCATGGGAGGAACTGATGGATATCGTAAATGTTGACCCTCCATTGATCCACCGGGTGTGCCCATGTCCAATGTAGTCCAGACATTTCTGGTGCACCTCTAGATGTTAAATGCAACCTGATTCGATCAAGTTGCGAAAATCCTGGTCTCCATCCATATTGATCCACAGTCCAGTTTTTTGATGGAGAGCTCGTTGTTGGATGGAACCCCATCATACACAGTGTTGTTTTGCGTTGCTTAGAACTGGACAAAGCATATGGGGTAAGTCACTGCTTTGCGTAATTAATCGTTATTATATAGTTTGCTGTTGGGACCACCCAACGCGAGACCTGGGAGCAAGGCAGGTGTTGCTTCAGTTGCTTCAGGACTCTCCAGCCATCAAGGTATGTGTTCGAGTCAGACCGTTCATCAAAGAGGAGGCTCCGGGTACTGAGACATCGAAGGTCAGACTTGTTAAGGATCCACTTGTTTTCGGGATCTTAGGGAAACATGCCGCGGCTGCGAAAGCGGCGCAGATGCAGAAGGATCATCGGATCTGAGATGCTTGCAGGCGATTGCAAGGTTTTTACTTCTTGAGGTGACACAAAGAACAAAGGAAGGTGTGACCAAGCCCACTCATGCGCTCAAGATCCTGCTTGTTTTAGACTTGGGGTTGTTGGAAATTCAGTTCGATGGGTTCGATGCGAAGCAAAACAAACGGAGCAACTGCGCTCGACAGGTCGAGGGGCAACGTTCAGGCGGAGAATGTAAGCTTTGCATCGACATGCCGTCACTGAGCATCTGTTTGGGCAGAGCGGCGTCGGTGTTTGACGTTTTCTTTCAAAGTCAGTAGGAAGACCATGGAAGACCTTTGTAGTTGAGCAACCGAATACCGCTTCACCACGGGTAAACCAATTCCAAATGTGCAGGCATAGCTGGGTTGAACCCCCGTAAGGGCTTGTGTATCAGCAGGGCCATACTAAGGCTGCTTGGTATAAGCCTCTTAGGCAGCTTGAAGTGATTGCCTGTCTGCCGTGCCAGGACAATCCTGCAACTCACCACCTTTCGCCTAGGTTTGTTCACCGAACACGCAAACGTCTTCAGAACCATGCCAACTGTGTCCTTCGCATTGTTGTATTAGGACATTGGACCATTGCTGTTAGTAAACGTCAAACATGCGCTTGTTAGCGGCCACCAGTGGATCCAATGAGAGCGCCACGCCGGCCCCTAGGGCCTCTTTTTTGGTTTGTCAAAAAACAGAGCGGAGTCTGGAGTCTTGGCTAAAACCAAAAACGATAGGCCCCTCAGACCTGCGATAAACATGTTTCTGCCGTTTGGGATATAATGGGCTATATACATTCAGCTACAGTAAGCTGATTTGGGGCATGAAAAAGCGATCGGCACGTCTCCCAGTCAGACTGCCCTCAGCAGTCTGCACCGCACATGACCGGTTCAGGTCTGAGACCCAGGTGCGCATCCTGAACTTTGATGACCCGGATGATGACTCGCACTTTGGCGAATGACTCGCACGTTGTTTCATCTCGTTGCAGCTATAGTATGCCATAGGGCCATCCATCGGTCCGTAGAAGTTGATCGACGAGTCGTCATGGAAGCTGGCTGACAAGTTGACAAGTGAATCTGAAGCAAAATAACATTGTTGTTTGTGGTGTTGGTGCATAAACCCAGTGAACTGCACAACTGTGCTTGGTTCCAAACGCTCATTGATGTGCCTTGATTGATGTTCCTCCAAAAGGCGGGCCTTTGAATTTGATCGACGCTGGTCTCAATTTTGGCAACATTCTTCCATTTGTTTCCTTTGTGTTGGACAGCTACTGGGCTTTTGATACGACTGCTTCTCCAACTATCTCACCTTCATCTCATGGATTGCTATTCGCAGGTTGCTATTGGTCGCACAGCAAAGATCATCCGTTCTTTGCCACACAGGAGACCTTGCAAACCGAAGCTTGGCCAAGCTGAGCAGCGAACAGCGATGATAAGTGTGATATGTGGTGCGCTCAACGAGCAGGCAGCGTGTGTATGTGTGTGTGATCGTTTGTGTCAAGCCTGGCGGTTTGCCAGGCTTTTGACTCAAGACCTCCTAGCTGAGGAATTGGGGGAGATTATGCTGGAACATGCCATGAATGGTTTCAACAACTGCATTTTTGCGTATGGGCAAACGGGCAGCACCCTGCTTGCACCTAGAGCGTTCTGCCTTCCAAGATTGGAGGACGCACTCAGGACTCCAAAACAACCAGATCTTGCGGAGATCTTCCTTGTTTTGAGACATTCTAGCCAGAGATTGGACCTTTTTCGGCTCATTACTTGTCCCGCGCTATGCCGCGACATCCATGCAGTCCAAGATGCAATGTTCAAGGAAAGCTTTTTGTAGCATCAGACCACAGGTAGATGCAGCTTGGCATATCTCATTGTGTTGGCAACTTGATTTTGATCTGCTTCGTAAGCTCCATTGGCCACTGGTCCCGCTACAGTACGGCACACTCGTTCAGGTGGGAAGTCATACAGTGTGCTTGGTGGCAAGGACGAGGAGCGAGGGCTTCTTCCACGAGTGGTAGAGGGGCTGCTTGGATTTGGTTGAAATGAGACTGAAGATATTGAGGCGATGCATGCTCTTTTGGACGTTGCTGCCTTCTCTCTAGCAAAAAGATAACACAACACATGAAAGCAACTCGCATGCTGCACAGACTAGTTGCCGCTGAGGCTCTTCGATCACTTTGCAAAGCTGCCACAGGACCCGTCGTGATATTATACAAGTGGTGCCCTAAAAACATGTTGTGTTGATGATGGTGATGTACTTCGGATACCAACATTTTTGATTATTTTTGGATGTTTTTGGTTCTTTGCCAGACGCCGCAACGTCCTCTTTGTAATTAGTGTAGGTGTACATGCAGACCTGTACCGCCGGTGATTGTGATGGTTTCTGATGTTTCTGGATTTGTCAATCAATGGCACAATATCCAGCTTCAAGAAGTGCTCACATTTGCTTTTATGTGCGTTGGCACGTATCACCTTCATGCTTAGTGTGTGCTTCGTGCTTCGGGCAGGGTGCCACTTACAAGACGCTTGTCGCTTGGCAGACACATGTCGTGACTATCGATGATAGATGGGTCACGGGTCAGAAGGGGGGGTGCAGCATCTGTCGGAGGTTGCCTTCATGGAAATCTACAATGAGCAAATCCGAGACTTGCTGGTATCTTGGCATGAGGGCTGTTGGGGTGGGTTCTAGTCCTTTCCTTTGGGCTTGCAAAAGGCCTGAGTCAAGCTCCTGGTGGCTGGTGTTGCCTCATCAACTTGCAGAAGGCCTCGTTCAGCAGGGTCACAGGTATCTTCACTCACACTGAGTTACATCAAACAGGATGCCAAAATCGTTTCTGAGTTAAGTCTTGCCACCAACATCGATCAAAATTCTTGACTCGGAACCAGAATCTGTGGGAGCTGAGCAAGACGCGGAATTCTGACCCGGCAGCCCGAGTGCACCCGATCCCAACGAACATGGCACCAAGGCACCGGCAGACTCCGAGATCAAGAAGCAGCCCAGATGTTTCCAAGAAGGTTTTGTGCATCCAAAAATCTTGCTGTTGTGCTTAGCTTATGTTATGTAATATATATATATATGGGCTTAGCTTATATATTTAATCACATCACAACCATTACTATTCCAGAGTTTTGTGCCTCAAAATGCCTCCTACATGTTGTTTCATCTCCACTTCACCGGTCTTTTTTCAGAGGCTCCCCAACACATAGATACCCATGGCCGCACAAGCAAGAGCAATTCATAGTTTGCCATGGTTCTGGGGCTCCTTTAACCATCATCAGCATCAGACATCCCTCGAGCTATCGACGCGATCATCCGCGCTTAGGTTAGAAGTGAAGCAACATCCAGTTCTTGGCACCATCATCCCAGGCGAGCGGCATTTTCTTTCCCCGTGTTGAGTCAAGCCGCAGGCTCCACTCCTGGTGGTGCCCTTCAATCAATTCCTTTAAGTTTCAGCCTTTGGTATCCTTTGATTCTCACATGCATCATTCCTGGGCCAAGCCATGACATTCTGCATTAAGGGAAGACGTACACAGGGACTCTGACCCCTTCAAATTTGTTTGGTTTGGTCACGCAAAGGGTACACTGGTGAATGTGCATGTGTCTTTGTCCTTCCAGGTCTCACAGAAGCCGCTGTAGCTTCCTGCGAAGAAGTCTTGAACCTGGTGGACTACGGCACCCAGATGAGGTGCTGCTACAACTCACGAGTTGGAACGTGTGTTATCAACCCGAGGGTTGCCTCAGATTTGAGTCTCCCAGAAGTCACCTGAAACATCCTGAAACTACAGCTGAAGTTGTCAACATGTTCATGGCTTCTAAAGCTTCTTGGAAGCAACTGCAAAGTCTGCAAACTTTTGTGGGTCATACAACTTGACTTCTCGTGCTCTCTATTTTCTTGTGCTGGAAGCAGGCACGTTTCAGCCACAGCAATGCTGCTCGCTTGCAAATGATATGCCAATCCCATGCCACCAGATTAGTCACCAGACCAAGGAAAGGCTCATAAGAGTAGTGTCGCGCTCATTGAACTTTCTTTCAGAAGACGGTGAAAGCACTGTTTCACCACTGGACTTCAGGACGAGCAAGCACTTCCAATGACCAATAACTTCATGGTGTGAACGTCTTCGTCCGAACAGAATGCCGGACGGGTCCCTTCATCCCCCCTTCCCAGAACCAAAGCGGTTTGAGGATGACCGAAGCGGTCGTCTCCATCGGAGGCGAGTGCGGTCGACCTCGACGACCGCCCTCGGTGGCCCAGGAATGCCACCAGTAGTCGAAGCCGCTGGCCCAGCGAACAAGATGGAAAGAACGAGAGGTCGAAGCGACCGGAGAGAGGTTGATGTCAAACAGTCGGATGAAGAAATTCAGACTGAAGCAAGAATGAAGCACAGAAGTCATGAGTTGGTGTTTTTCGGGACTCTGAAAACTGAGGTCACTGCATCTTCACCTTTAAGACGTCACTCACAGAGCCGGATCAGCCATCCAAGGTCTCTCAGAAGCTCAGACTTGGAGTCCGGATGGTGTTGGGTGTTGCCTGCTATGGCCGCCATATGGTCAAGGTTTGTTCTTCCATGTGCTTCCCGTTGAGATTACTTCCTTCGTTTTTACATATTTTTATCATTTTTGGGGGTTGGTCGTTTCGGAAGACATCGATCACTCGTTGAAAGTCCAGAGACACTCAATTCCCTCACACCCTCGGCCCAACGGTCAATTTCAATCGTCGCGAGTCTGAACGACAGATGACACAGTGTGCGCGTGAATCTCTTCAGGACTGTGCTCCTTTCCAAGCGGGCATGGTTGTTCGGCGACGAAGGTCGTCGAGTAGCAAGACCGACCCATCGGAGCACACACTCCGATCAACAACCAAGGTGAGTCGGCTCCCGTTTAAACAGCCGTACTCGCACTGGGGAACGCGTGATGCCCTGGCCTTGGACAGTGTTAACCTTGAAAATGTCCTTTTCTTAGCCTACGTGCCACCGAGCCCTGGACACACTGAAGAAGGTATGTCCGAACCATGCGCAGGAGGTTCTGAAGGCCCAGTGGCACGCCCTCGGTTATCGAAGCAACTCCCCGGCTCCCCCCCGAGCTGGCTGCAGAAACGCAGCCTTCCTTTACCATCAACTTTTTGACGCCGTACAAGGATTTGCCAGCGGCAGACACCTTTCTGGCAAACAATAATGTGCGGCTGGGGACTTTGTCATTAGGGCTTAGTGGCGAAAAGGCAGAGCAGGGCCAAAAAGGAGGCAGGTAGGTGCTCTAGGCCAAAAGCCAAATAATAACAGCTTTCGCAGCCAGAGGCAGAACAGGTAGGCGCTCTAGGCCAAAGTTCAAAGGCAGAGCAGGGCCAAAAGAAGCAATAGCGCCATGCCCTCCCCCTAATCCTGCGCTCATCACGGCTCGGAAAGGGCGTCAGACAGCGAAACCCCCCCCAAAAAAACTTTAGGAGCCAGAGGCAGAGCATGTACAGGCAGAGCAGGCAGGTGCTCTAGGCCAAAGGCAGAGCAGGGCAAAACAGAAACAACAGCGCCGTCCACTTAATTCTGGGCCAACAGGGCTCGGCAAGGGTGCCAGGCGGGAGCTTCGAAGCCCAATAGACACAGCTTTAGGAGCCAGAGGCAGAGCAGGTAGGTGCTCTAGGCCAAAGGCAGAGCAGGACCAAGAAAAGCCATGGTGCCACAGGGCTCGGAAAGGGTACCAGACGCCAGCTTTGAAGCCCAATAAACACAGCTTTGGAGCCAGAGGCAGAGCAGGTAGGTGCTCTGGATTGCTTTGGGCCAAGGGCAGAGCAGGGCCAAAAAAAATCAATAGAACCTCTCACGTTGCAACCTTCGGTATCCTAGGCGCCGCCATTCGCTAAGCCGGGGTCGGATTTCTTTAGGCGTCCACAGCACTATGTGGCACTGTCCGAGGACGCACCTGGTGGACCTGGCGGGCTCCGAGCGGGCCGGCCGCACCAAAGCCACGGGAGATCGGCGGCTCGGCACGTGAGTTCGGGGGAGGAACGTCGGAAATAGAGAGGAGATGCTTCTTCATGAGGAAAAGCATGTCAAAGTGTTTAGATGGGAAAGATGAAGAAAGACAAGTCAACTACCACGCTTGCACAGCAAGGGTCGGAATGCCAGGCTGAAGGAGGGTGCAGCCATCAATCAATCATTGTCGACACTTGCAAGGCAAGGCGCAGAGTTTGAGCAGTTGAATGGGGTGAGACCCTGTCACTGTCTTAAGAAAAATGGTGTCCACCTGCCTATGGCTTTGATCTGTTCTGATTTAGAAAAGAAGGATCCCACAATGAAAGGACACAACGGTTAGAATTGGTCCAGGTAAATTCATTGATTTTTTTGTGAATTGGACTTGGGAATGGTCGGGTACAGGGCAAGGGACAAGATGCGAAGACAAATGGCTCAGAATTCTTCACTTACTTAAGTCTGGAAACGAATCAGACTCCCATTTGCCAGGACGGAAAAGAAAGGGATCAAACATTGATTTTGCAAACTGAAAAGTAGTTCGGATGCAATTGACCCAGAAAGGGAGAAGACAAGGAGGATGTTTAATGACCTGTCGCGGGCAGAAAACAGATCCAATCCAAAAAGATCGGCGTCCGAGATCGGCCCAATTTAGATCATTTGCCTTTTCTTTTCCTGCGAGTGATCTAGACTCTAGACTGGACCATCACACCATCACAAGGTGTTGGCGTTTGAATTGTGTTAGTCACTGGGAACTTAGTTGGTCGGGGTGAGATGTGCTTCTAGAAAGTATCGTAAAAGGTTTCATATGAGGCAACTCGGCCTTGATGGTTGGTGACTTCTTGATTTCTTCCACGCATATGGCAGGAATAGATAAAGAACACAAAAGAAAGTGTGCGAGTGAACTCCAAGATGTACTACAGTTTTCGAAAACATACGCCGTTAAAGGGTTTCCTTGTTTGTTGGAGTATCAAATGGGTGATTTTCGCAAACCGGGTGACTTCCCTCTCATGTTGTGTTTCCTTGCGGCCGAATAACTCTGTGCAAGCCTGGGTGGCTTGACCCATGCGCTATAGTATGGGAATACTAATTGAAGTCTAAATGGAAGCGTTTCAATTACCTCCTAAGATAAAGATTTCATTGAGATTTCCACCAAGTTCATTCGGTTTCAGAGAGGAATCCTTACAGACGTTTATATACATTACAGTACATGAACATACATGAACATAAATGTATTTCGGGTAGATGGCTGTTGAGTTGCCAGATGTTCATTGGCTCTAATACATTGTCGGTCAACCGTAGTCAAGTGGACATGGTCTCATAAAGTTTGTTTACAGTATACTTGTACATGTTTACCTTGTCCTGAAATCAAAACATGTACTTCACGGCAAACCGTGTGTGCTCCTGAATTCAAGGATCATCTTAACTTGAGAGACACCTGCCTTTCGGCACACATCAGACCGACACTCACGCTGACTCGCATACATCAATTGTGACTTTGTTTCGAAGCCAGGGTGATCTCAGAGCTTGCGAAGTCTGCCAAGACGAAGAAGAAGCCGAATCCTCCGTTCCGAGAATCCAAGCTGACCTACATCCTCAAAGCCCCTTAGCTTTGCCACCGTGCGATTTCATGGTTTGTATGTATGTTGGAGGCTGCTGGGAAATGATGTATCTCAAAATATTTAAAAGAAACATGGGTGTCGACCCACACGAATCTATCGGGCTCTCGGCCAATGAGCAGCCGACCTCCAAGCCTCCAACATCCTGCTGCTCGTAGGACATGATTTGGTACTTCTTTGTGTTAGTCCGCGGCGGTCCACAATGCCTGGGGGTCACAAATGCGTACGAGCTAATGACGTTCTCCGCAAGCCAGGAGTCTTTGTGCGGCAATTCCAAGACCGTGATGATGGCTGCCATTTCGCCCAACTTCACAGATTATGCCCCCTGGCACTTGGGTGGACAGTTGCCCATGTAAGGGGTGGTCATGGACCATGGAAGACTTGAGGTCGTGTTTGTAGCTGACGTCTAGCATCGTTTCTAGGTCGTGGTTGATAGGGTTTCATTGGACCATTGTACGCCACCACTGCACCGCACAGCAACGTTTCGGCGGGTGTCCCCTCGTGTTTTCGGTCATGTGCTTCCCGACGGGCGTGGGGATCAACTTCGGCGACCTAAATCGCTCGTAGCGAATGGGAAGTTAGAAACTGACACTGTGTTTTCGAATCCTCCTGAAAGAAGATAGAGTCAGGGCACCACTGAGGGGCACATGATGTAAATGCCTAGGGGATGTAAATGCCTAGGGGGGCAAGAGAGTTGAGAGCAAATGCCAGGCCAAGTTGTTCATTGGAACAAGCCTAGAAACACAACGAACCCCAGAAGAAACAGACACAGACACATATTATATGCATACAGAATAAACATATATCAAATTTATGCCGGGAAATGCTGGCCAAGGCGCCTTGTTTCCAACAGGCCTGGCATTGGGCAAGAAGCTCCAAAGAAAGGAAAGGTTCCTCATCATCAGAGTTGTCCACACAAAGGCGAACATGTGCCATACTACACTGTAGGCTGACCATGCCAGCCAAAACGCCTTAGAGCAAAACTGTTGCCGAAGAGCGAAACTGCTGGCCAGCAAGCTAGAATGCCTTTTGGTAGGTTGATTGTCGTAGGGATGACATGGTTAGTTAGGCACGGTATCCACCCACAGCTGAGACTTGACTATCCTGAAACCTGTAGGTGTCATCAGGTGTCCATTATTGGGGTGTCTCAAAAGACTTTGGGAACCTCTCCAACTCACCAAGCTTGGTTGAGTAGTTTTGGCTTATGAGGAATACGGAAGGAATCTTTGTCCATTGGGCACTTGGGTTTGTCCAGGACCTACCGAAACTACGTGCCCCAAACCCATATTCACGTTTGGCTTCTCAATGATTCTCAAGCCGGGAGAGACACTCCTTAGGCACCTAATTAGAGTTCCAAAGGTTCCAAATCACATGGTATATACAAGAAAGCGCCATTTGAATTGGAGTTGTGAGAAGCAGCAGAGGAGACACTTGGGCTCAGACATGCTTCTGAGTGAGAGCGGATGTTGAAGAGCTAAGGATGAGACCCTTTCTACCTTGAAGTTTTCGCAGTCAGTCAAGCAAGTGCAGACCAAGGCCGTCGCTGTTGATTGACACTCATGTGGTACAAAAGGAACAGTTTAAAAAAGAAATCAAACACACTTCTGCAAGGCTGCTTTAAATGTCGGTAACGTTCGTTTTACCATAGACTTGCAGCAGCTGCAACCTTGTTGAGGCTGTGCAGAATGCACCTTGGAGGCATCCCAAGGGTGAGTAGAAGCATGTAGAAGCAAATGAAGCAGATGAACCCCTGACGTCGAACTGTGTTAGGAGGATGTCAAGCTTCAACTGTTGGAAACCCGAGTTATAAGAATGGTTCAATGATCCATATGCTCCACGATGTTCCACTGAGCATTGGGAGTCACAGCTGAGGCGGTGAACATGTCCTCAGTGGAGGCGCAGCTTCGAGCCGAGTTAAACGCACTGAAGTCACAGCTCCAGGCAATTCAGGCGCGGTTGATGCGTGGGGCACCGAAACTGCGTGATGTTCAGTGGACAGATCTAGATTTGGTTCGCCTTTGGAGTTTTGGGGGAGAATCATTTTGGATTCAATCTCAGAGGTGGTTGCCGCCAGGTGTTCAGATGGTGGGTGCGTATCAGAGGGCCGTTGCGTTTTAGAGACACTTGAGAACCCGTCCTATCGGTGGCTGGACAGATGGGAGTTCGGCTGGTCCCGCTTGTGGGGTTCAGCTTTCGAGTAAAGGCTTAGAGATGAGAAGGGTCCTCATTCTTTGGCCCTGAGCCAAGCCTGGCTAAATATGGCTATATAAATGTCAGCATAATGAGCGTTGTTGGAGGAGGTGCTTTTTTCTTACATCTCATAATTAATGTTGTTGGACTTGTTTTGAAATGAGACCACGTGCCGTCCATCAGTGCACAAAATTCACAGCTAGGATTTCCAACCCCGCATTGAGCCTCGTAATCCTTCGTGTGAGGATCCTCAGGCATCTGATGAGCTAAGCTTTCTCAAGAGGCAAGACAGAGAGGGGGGCTGTTTCGGGTTGTGCCACACCGGAATTTAAACCAACTTGTACTTTTACAAACAGCTGGATGGACCAGCTCAGGAAGGAAAGCATTTGACTTTCCAGTCATACACGATGAAACAGTCAATGAAAAACAGCGGTGAACATCGATCCACAGATCGGCCGGCAGGTGTATTTGCAGAGTGCAGATTTCTGCATATGATTCATTACTGAACCCCGTCAATGTAGCACTCGTTACTGTAGATACTGACGTTGAAGGTGCATTCGATCTTTGCTCCGACGGTCCTGCACAACAAATATAGCAGACATGACCCACTGCCTGCTTACGGCTGAGGCGATTGGAAGAGCAAGAACAACTTTGCGCGTACTACGGAAAGGTGTTGTGCTTAGACATGCTGCATTCGCTGTGGATTCCAACTGACGTTCATGCATGTCGTCAATTCATGCAGGAAGGCTAGCCGGTTCAGGCTAGCCGGCGCCAGCTACAATACTGTGTTTTCATGTGTTTCCAAGCATCGCTGCTGTTGTTTCACACCTATGATGACTATTGGTGTGAAGATTTCCACGGGTTCGTTTCGGGTCAAAAAGCATTGAATTCGCCTCCTTTCGTTTCGAATGGGTCAAGCGAGCTGCCGTCACGGCGGAGCCTGCGCAAGGATTGGGATAGCCTTTTGGCGGAGGAGCGCAGTCGTTCCTTGGCGAGATGGATTCGTAGCGCGTTCCTCGATCCGGTGGACCATCCAGCCTTTTCCAGCCTGAATGAAGGCGGATGATGAAGCAAAGCCACACAACTATCCCATGTTTAGGAGATCTTTGACCATCCAGGGGTGGTTATAGAGTTGTTTGATTTAGTCCGTCAACTCAGTGTAACTATCAACATTTTTTCTCCAGCAGTCTAAGAGGTGTTCATGTTGGCACAGGGAAGCAAAACGTGACGCGCTCAGAGCAGGTATGGATGTGAGGAGAATCTCGGACAGCAAGAGTGGTGTTCGTTCGTGTTCGTTCCAAGTTGTGGCCCGAAGGATCCAGGATGCAGAAACGATCCACCGATCCACCGATCCACACCATGAATCTAGGCCCATCTAGGCCCTAGGCATCGGCGACCAAGGAACATCCCTGCATCCTTCGGCCCTCCATCCTGCTGCCCAGCTTCGTACTCTGGAGAAGAAGAAGATCAAGGCTCAGCGTGTGGGTTGGACATGAGCGAATTTGGGGCATGTAAATGATTTCTTACAGGGTCACTCACGAAGGAAGGAACTTGCTTTTCTAAATGGAGGTGAACACGTAGTGAGAATCGCGGTGGTCACCGGTGGTCTAGTTGAAGCGTAGCTGCTGCTGGCATTGCACTGTAAGTGTTATCTACAATGTCAGGCCATGCATGAAAGTAGATGCATGACCATGCTCATCCCAAGGATCTTACTGATCGAAAACGGTGACTGAAAATTGTGTGAAAGATGGACTTTGCAGCATCTGCTCCAGCCAGGAGTCTTTGAGCTCTGATGTTTCTTGGATGTATTGATGTATTCTTTTGAGTTGGGAAGTTGATCTCAGCATCCACCGAGCTCCCAGGCTTGAGCGGAGCTTCGCAGCACATGGGCTTGACAGACACCCCAGAAAACCCGGTAAGTGATCAGCTGCAGAATTCTTGTTGCCTTCTCCTTCATGGTTTGACCCCCAAGAGTCAGATTCAAGCCAACATATGTACACTTGATTGGCAATTCCCACCTCAGGAAGATATGGAGGAGGATGATGATGTGGAGTCATTCACCTGCTCATTGCTGCTCAGCTGCAAGGTTGATTGAACTACAAAGCCTGGCGCAGGGGATCTGCTCCTTTTCGACTTCTTTCCCACAACCTAGGTTAATGCTTGGCAAGCCAATTGATGAAGCTCCACCAGAGGGGTGCTGGGCTCAGCTGTTCAACAGCTGTGTTTTGCAGAGAGAAAGCCACCGGCATAGAGGTTAGACGGTGAAGAGAAAAGGCACTTTTCGTCTGGCTCGGGTTGAATGCCCGACTGATAGCTTGCCTTCGTTTTGCAGGAGATCGTCCTTCGTAGCCCCGATCCGAAGCTTGGCTGGTCCATGTGGCTACCAGATGTCGTTTGCGCGGACTTAAGGCGGCCACAGAGGAGCATGGTGACCCAAAAACCAGAATTCGGGAAGGTGGGAGGGAGCAAGGGAGGGAGGAGGGAGGGTGGCAGTTGATCGTGCAAGTAAAAAAATATGGACAGTTGAATTGTACGCCTTTCATAAAAAGAACCACATCGTGTGATTCATGGTGTGCACTGCAACATAGGCCGTATTGTCCAGAAGGCCGGCCCACAAGACCCCTTCTGTTGCCGAGCTGTTTTTCCTAGCTTCTAGAGTCGAGTTCTAGTGGTTGACCTTGACAATGTTGTCCAAGCTGGTAAAATTCATTGGGCTGTGCGGCTGTACCATGTTTTAGTGAATTCTAAGGTGCGGTTCAGTGAAAGATTCCGACAGCAACACAGACCGTCAGACCAGACTGCATCTACCAAGGAAGCTCCCTGGCCGTGGTAGGCCCGATGGCACAAAAGCTCTTGTCACAGGGCCAGAAGATGCAATCCGAGCTTTTGAACAGGCCAGAAGATGCAACCGACGGTGTCTGACGGTTTTTGAGAGCTGGACGCAAAACGTGCATTTGTAGGTGGTATATTGTGCGGGAAGAGCTCCACTTCTAAGTGCCGCGTAGCGGGTGTTAGTAGTAGTATGGTTACTTGTGAATCATCCCTGATGGGAGCGACAGCGACAGAACTGTTGAGGCAGAACTTCAAATTATTCTGGCGGCATTGGCAAGATGTGCCGCAAGTTTGTGTGAATGCGTGATCTAAAGTTCGTGAATTGATTATGTTATATAAGTGATATAAGTGATATGCATGCACACATATATATATATATATTATATATATATATATATGTTTAAGTCGGGAAGAAGTTCTTGTATTCGTGTTGGCGACTGCTGCTGTTCGGTGTCTTAGGATGCCAGCTCGTACCCGCAGGCGGCTGGAGGAGCTGGCTGCTGCAGCGGCAGAGGCCATGGGACTCCTGAATGGCGCGGCGAGATCTGAAGGTGCGGATCGGGGACCAGCGGGGACCGGCGGCCGAATTCTTTGTGGCCCAAACCGCTCGCATTGTCTTTGTTGGCCCAGGTCTGCTGTCCTTGAAGGTGCTGGTGGTGGCAGACCCTCGTGACGATCAGACCTTCGAGGTGAGTTCTGGGGGGGCTAGAGCCTAGAAGCCCGTCCGTGACCAACGCAGTTTACTTCCGTCGAACAGGCCGGCTTGGTGGTGCAAGCGTCTGCTGAATCCTCTTTGCCATCCTCATGGGCCTGGCATGCTTCTCAGCCTCGTATCCTGCGTCTTTCTTATGTCTAAACCAAACGCCGAGATCAACCAAGGCCACGACAAGAGACGGGCGAGGCTGGCAAGCTTCATTGCTGACACTGATCATGGTCGGGGGTTGAACAAAAGACAAGACAAAAGGATTTGCCAAGAATATTGAGTCCACCCATGCCCACACCTGTAGAAGCCGCCAAGTTGAGAATATTTGAGAATGGGATACCGCAAAAAAGACATTCGGGTCGCAGCGCTTTGCAAGGATGCAGGAAAAGTGCAGACTCAAAGTATTGATTGGTGTTCTGGGAACCTCAGCATATTTGGCAGATTTCGGCAGTATTTTCTGATTGAATGTAATTTCTAATCAATTTCTGATTGAATATGTTGGTTCTCTTGCAAACTCAGGAACGAGCTCAAAAAGAGACTAGCTTGGCTCAAGCAAAACAGGCCTGGTTGACATGTTTGACTCATGGACTCATGGTCTTGTTACTCGTTCCATCACATCCAGAGTTGAAGAAACTTGGCCAGATGCTAGATACATGTGATCCTCTTCAAATCAATCAAGCATCATCTAGAATGTAGCTCTCCTGTCTTCTTGGACCAATTTGGGATTACCGCCATCCAAGTGAAGTTGGAACATTCTGCCGGAAGACGTGAAGGTTTGTAGAAGGACTAGGCAGCAAAGACTACTTTCACGTTGACAAAGCACGGTCCAATTGCTGGAAGGTCAGAGGTCAGCAGCAAAAGTCCTGCTGATGCCTGGATGATCTCGGCACATGCCACATCCGGTCACCTGGCCAGAAAGAGCGACTTGTTTTTATCTTTTTTTTGCTTGGCCGGAAAACGGAAGAACCTGATGTAATGTATTTCTGGCAGGCAACCAGCAGATGCAGCAGCTGCAGCGCCAGAATGCTGAACTGGTGCTCCACTCAAGTCAACTGGAGACTGTATAAGTGCCAAAGAGAGTCTTCCAGACTTAAGCTTACTTTGCCGAATGATTTTAAGCTGGCAGTTGGTATGAGAGTCCGGGAGTAGAGTCGCTTTCAACAAGTTGGAAAACAACCTGAGAGACTGTATCTAAGGAGAGAAGGCTTGCGGAGATGGAGTCCAGGTACCAGACGTTCGAACGACATTTGATGCATAGAGTCTATATAAGCTGGTGCTGACTGTTCATCGTCCTTGACTCTGCAGGTTGAAGGCTGGGGAAGGAGGTGACTCAAAAGCCCACAGTGTGAACAAGGAGACGGCATGCAGCCTGGTATTGGGGAAGCATTCTCAATGAACAGCCATCTCAATGTCCAAACAGCAGAGCCTCGGGCCTCTTCCGGTCGACTATTTCACACCAAAACCAGAGAGAAGACTTTCATGGAGTTTGTCCTGCTCAGTTTATGATGCCCTACAACATAGCAGCCCGGAAAAACAGGAAACACACATGCCACCTAGTTTCACCATGTTTCACCCCACTTCTTGAGCCGTGCACCACAGGAGAATGACCCTGCAAACCTTCGTGTCTTGGAGACGAACTGGTTTCCGAGCGGACCTCGCCTCGCTGTGAACAGTGCGACGTGGGCAGTCCTGGCAGCTCCCCCTTCGCACTGCTTCCCTTGTTTGTTCGGAACAGATGTTGCTCGATTTGGGATGGCTCCACGGACCTGAGCCCATGGGAGGGACCCGGGTCTCCATCATTGTAGATCAAAGATCTCGGAATCAGACTTTGAAATTACTTGGCATGTCAGGTCAGCAGAGAGCGCGGGAAGCTGCCAAAGCAATTTCTGCCAGCTTTGAGACTGCAACTTGCAAGAGAGTAAGTTTAGTATTGAGTGATTGATCCAGCTACTGTAGTAGTATCGATACTTCCGTGTTCACGTCCAAAGGATTTGAAGCCAGTCCACTTGAGGCAATTGGAGCACTTGATGCTGCACAAGTGGCACTCCAAAAGGTGGAAAAGCGCTGACGGACGCGACGAACTCACCAGGTCTCCTGGATGCGATGAAGGGAGCCTGCCAGCGATGAGTTAATGCAATGGCCTGCCCTGGGCAGTGCAGCTGTCCTTGTCCTATGGCCAGCTCGTTGAGGCCGGCCCATCAAGGGGTCAAGCTTCATCGAACTTCTCAAATACCCCATCAGAACTCTTATAAACAACACTAAACAGCTATTCTTCAAGCAATGTCCCAACGAAATCTCGACTTGGGATGTGATTAGCCAAGAGTTTTGAAGGTAGCATTATTTAATGTACAAAGGGACCAGGCCCTGCTCCGAGCTTGGATTCAGAAAGAACATCCTTGCAGGCTGCCAGCAACATTTGTTGGCCCGAAAGTGCTCGCATGAGGAGGCTAAAGCTTCAGTGTACTTTGTAGCCATATGGCTCGCTTCCGCATGAACATAATGCAGCAGACTAAGATTGACCAGCTTATTCCCACTCCACAAAGTTTCAGCAAGCCAATCCTAGATGAGTCTCATCACAATGAGCTTTTGGATGCTCTTGGTAGGAGTCCAAGGGCCAACACCAGATTTCTTCATCCCCCTAAAGCACACACCGCAGACCACCATGTCATATGTAGACCTCAATCTCGTATTCGACCACCGGCGACCACCGGCCCACCCTTTGGATGCTGCCCTCATGTCAGGGGGCCCAGGCTTCCTTCACTAGGAAAAGGCCACAAAGGCAGCCGTCCCTGCGAGTTAGTTACTGCATGATGACACCTCACTACCCAAGGGCAAGAGCACCAGATCCACAGAATCACTATGAATCACTATGGGCATTCTTGTCGACATCACTATGTCATTGTGTTGCGAATGAATTGATGTCGACACCTTTGTCGTAACCAAATTGTGTTTGTCGTTCCCGGTCGTTCCCATCAGGCTGGTTCGTCGAGTCGGGGAAGGCAATGACTTCGAGCCCGGACCTCACAGCGTCATCACAAGGATGGGGCAAGTGGCAACCAGGCCTTTGGACCATTTTGGACCAAAAATTAGATCCTCACAGAAGAGTGGGGATATGACAGCATCACAGAAGAGTTGTCAACTGGAACATGTGAAGATGACGGTTGTTTTTGTTACACCGTGGCATCTTAGGACTAGAGCGTCGGTCTTCATCTCTCAGCAGGATGAGAAGATCCAGTCGGGCCCTCAGAGCGCTGCAAAAAAAAACCGATTTGGAGCGCTGTGCAGTGGCTTTGCATCAATCAAACATAATCTGCTTAGTAGAAAATTGTACTGTAGGTAGGTTGGAGGCCACCGCATCGGCATTAGGTTGGAGGCCACCGCATTAATTAGATGGGAGGCCATTGCTATTAGGGGCCCTGTGTGTTGTTGCGGTCGTTTCAGGTATGTGGGAGCTACCAACGCATGAGTTTGAAGTCCATCCGTGACATCCGTATTTTCCTGAGGCCAGCGCTACAAGAAGCCACGCCCTTGAACTGGATTCCTGCATGTCTCATGTCGAAAGGCAACCTGAGAGATCACACGAGCTGTTCCACGTGGTTTGCACGTTCAACACCGTTGGACCAGTGGAACCAGAACAGGTTCAAAACGCCGAACGAGTGGGTGAATATATACCATGTTGTTCAACCCGTGGGTCGACACTGAAGCTGCCAGCCCTGAGTTCAACTCGTGGGCGGCAAATCCAGTGTTTTCAGCTGGAACACACTTTCAGGTGCTCCAACTCGCGCGAAAGGCGGACGAACAGGGAGCCAGGGTCGCTGAGCTCGCTGCCCGCAGACCCAGTTGTGGATCCATGCACGATGCAAACACCGGCAAGCCATCCTTTTTTTTTTTTGTACTTGCTAAAGTCTAGCATATTCTAGCTGATTTGGCTCTCCATCTCCAAAGCTCATCGAAACATCGATGCCCAGCCATCGAGATGGGTCACAGCTCAGAGATCTCGCTGCGATGTGCAGCTCCCGGCGCAGCTTCCAAGGAGAAGATCCTTCAGCGCATTCCGCCGGAGAGTTCCGTGGCCAAGGCCATTGACTTCCACGGCCTCGCACGGATGCCGAGGGGTGCTGTGAGATGAAGAATCCGCTCCACTGGTGACGGTCGCGGGCGGATTTTGGGCCACGTGCGTTGGCGTGCTGTTGAGGATTCTAGAAATCGACCAGGGTTTCAGGATGTTTTGATAAATCTTGAGATGTACCTAGGTGGGATGAAAAGGTAGGATACGGTGGGAGGAATCGTTACTTTTTGTTAGCCATGAGTAGCATACGGTGTCTTGAGATGACGCAGCACCCCTGGCCATTCGACCCTTGAGCTTTGCGGCTCAGCTGCTGTTAATTTGTCTACAATATCCGAACATGAAGTATGCACGGCTTACTGATCCACTGAACAACCACCGGCTGCAGAGCACTAGTTAGTGAAGCTGGTCATGTGATGTCAATCGTCAAAGTAACTTAATGGATTCTTGTTTGGACAGTGAAATATTCTTCGCTTGGTCCAAACCAAGGCCTTGTGCCGCGAAGAGTGGGTTGGACAGCATCTTGCATTGCTTTGCCAATGCATATTGAATTATTCTATGTCAATGTGTGACTCTCAGCGGCAGCCAGACGAGATCTCAGTTGCTCATGCCGTCCAAAGCACAGACGCCAGCATAGACGAGCATCTTATATAAGGGGGTTTGTGACCCACGACCAACCTGCAAAGCACCAACCTGTGGCGTGTGCTGTGACACCGGGCACTTTTGCAGGGTGTTTGGCATGGAGACGAGGGTGTTTTGCGGGACAAGCAATGACATGATAGCATTATAAATGGCAGTCGGCTCAACGGCCATTTCTTACGCAGACAGTCCATGTAGGACAGATTTACCATGGTTTACCTACATTGTTACATTGGGGTGGTTTGAGGGGGCAATATTACAGATGTTAACAACATAAATATGCCATACGTGGCGTGAATTCGTGGGTGAACCATGACGGCTCACGACAAGGAGATGCTCACGGAGGACTACTGTGAAGTGCTCCGCTGGGCGGTGGAGACGCGAAGCAGACAACGCGCCGCACGATTCAAGGAACCATGGCGCATTGGGAAAACCCAAACTGGCATCGTTTTGTTGCGGGGATGGGTCAAGAATGGTCACATGTCAATACCATTCAATACCTGAATCAGGGTTTAAGTTGGTGAACATCAGTCCGAGATAGTCCGATCGGATCCGATCGATCTTGTTGTTTGGGAAGCTTTGTAATACATCTCAATGGATTTCAAGGCGACTCTTTTTTCACAAGTTGGGCTAACGGCCAATAGCGCGTGAAGACTTCGAAGTTGCTTGTGGCACTGTGGCACTCAGGATTCAAAGGCTTCGCCGCTCACAGATGCCCATGAGCACTGGCGGCTTGAACTGGATGACTGGCGAGCCTTACTGGCTCCATTCTCCTGGAGGAATTCACGTGCTCCTATCATGAGTCACGGCCTGAGGACGCAGAGCTGGAGGTGGGGGGGTCAACGTTCACCACTAAAGGTATGTAATTGGGGAGCTGTTTCTGGTAGCGTTGATGGGAGCCCTCTTTCCATTGTTTTTTTTGGGTAGGATATCTTGAGGTATGCGTCTCTTGTCCATCAAGCATGACAACTGAGAAAGGGTTCGTGCACTGAACACCTATATATCAGGCCCCTAGGTTCGTGCGGGTGCATCTCTGGCGGACCTGAGGTCATATTTTGAGCGCTGCAGATCTCAGCGAGCCTTTGACGAAGCACGTGCACCTGGCACCTCGGAATGACAAAGGGAAGATGAAGCGCAGCATCACCAAGTTTGTAGCGCCAAAGCAAAGGGGAAACAGTGCAGAAACCGTATATTAATTTCTTATTTATATAGTTATTTTGTTTGATAAAACTTGCTGCCGTTTTGGGTCCACGGTCATTTTGGGTGTTCGTTGGGCTGCCCATTGACTTCTCAATCCTTTCAATCCAGTCAAAGAGGTTGAAAACCGGACTTGAAAGTGTTTTCTTGCTCAGTCGGGCTCGCCTGTCCGCATGGGTGAACCAATCCATTGGGGGACTGACGAACGCACGGACATGCGGGGTGGCACCCAGGTTCGATCCTTTGAGTATCTCCGATGTTTGGGCGGAGGCTTAATCGACGAAGACATGCAAAGTATCTTGGGCTGCAAGGCGAGCGACTGCGAGTTCCATGCAGAACGGTCGGATGGGACTAGGAACCAGAAGCTACTTGTAGGGGCTCCTGGCCGTACTACTAGGAGCAAGGACGCTACTAGGGCTCCTGGCGAATGAGATAAATGCAGTGTCAAAAAGACTGTGACCCCCAGTTGCAAGGCGAGGCTCCAAACAGGTTGAGGATGTTGACGTGTGTGGCTGAAGGTCTTGGGGTGGGCCTTGGAACCGTAGCAATTTCAATTGAAACATGAAAGGAAGAGGGTTAAGTGTTTCCAAACACATCCAGGAAACAAATCATTAATAATTAAGCCCGAGGCCTTGTGTCCAAGCCTAAGAAGCTACTTATATAAGTAGCTACCCCCCTTACTTGTCAGCTCACTCAAGCTGAAATCTCGGCCTACCGAACCGCCACACAAACTGGGTCCCATCTGAGGTGCCATCAAGAAGCTGCAACTCCACGGGGAGCAGCTCTCTTGTTGGAAAGCTAGTGAGGTCTCAGAAGCAGCTCTCACAACATATCGCAAGAGCGCACCTTGGATTACAGTAATGAATTTGTTTTAAGGGCAGCGAAGCGCAGGTGTGAGATTCTCAGAAATGCCTTGGACGTGTTGAATTGCAATCGTGTCAGCAGTACCAGCTGTGAGGTGATTTTCACCAGGACAGCAGCAGAGATGCTGCCAAAGGAAGTCCTGGCAGATGAAGCTGAAGCCTCTGCAAAGGCCGAGAGACACCGAGAGACGTATGCAGTTGGCTGGACCACCGATAGAGAGGTGGAAAAGGGATATCTCCAATAGGAGCAAATAGTTTCGATGGCCTCTCATGGTTTCCCCTTTGTTTTTTTCCTGGTCAAGATTTAGACCTTGTGGTTTGGTTCTGGGGACTGTCCTGTAGATACTTTGATACTCCTCCAAGTGGCCGCTGTTCCAGTGAACCGTGAGTTGCATGCGGCTGCCACCTTCGTCGCAAGAACCAATCCTGCAGGCAAGAGGATCACTTCGTAGCGCGGCAGAAGGACTGGGATTCTTACCCTCAGCGCTGAAAGGAAAGATTCCTACTTCAGTGTGACTTGGATGCATCCTGAGCATCCAGTTGCCATGTGCGGATGCTTCAAACAACTGTTCAAACATGGCGCCAGAAATCGCCAGACGCTTCTGGTTTTGGGATGTTTTGCGTGGTCAACCTGTTGGTCAACCCGCGGAACCGATCGCCGGAACCGACCTACTGAGGCTTGGGCATTTGGTTCGGCCAGGGCCCGAGATGTCGATGCTCTGATGCTCTTGGCAGTCAAACGAGAAGTGGGATTGGACAAGTGGAACACCATGGGAATTCATCACCCTGATCCAGTTATCCAGTTCTGATCCTCAGTTCTATCACCGATGGACACTTATTTTCTATGAACATCGTGCGTAGGCCGTAGGTCGTTGAATCACAGATCACAGAATGTCCTGTTTTTTGACGTCACAGCTGTGTTTGACGGCGTCTCGTCCAGGAGACTCCTCGCTCTGGCAGAGCCGGAGGCCAGAGCTTGAGAAGCACCAAGTCGAGTGAAGTCTCACCACATCGTCTTGTAAAACCAGATTGGTGAGCCTTCACTGGGCCTTCACCCCCTCTTTTTCGCACATCTTGCTGGTACCAATGTCCCAACTGGTCGGGCAACCAGTCCTGTGATGTGAGGCGAAGAAAGGCGCCGAGCACCAGAGGCTGGCGGTGGCCGAAATGGCGGAGGCGTGCGTCACACAAGGGCCGAGCATGGATTCTGCCCCTTGGATGAAAGTTGAACAGCTTTAACGGATTTTATGGCCCTTTTTGCTACTAGTAGTAATGCCAGGAGCTACTAGTAGCGACGCCAGCAAGCCTATTAACGCCTACTTTGTCAGTTTCTTCCAGGAAATGCATGGACTTGCTGAATTGCCTTAAGAATTGAACTTCCACGGTCCACGGTCAATCCCATTCTCTCCCAAGCGCATTTGGGGTTGTCTTCCTGGCAATGCATCGCAATGTGCTGTCAAGCCCAAGGCTCTAAGCCAGTCATGCTTGAGATTCCTACATCAAGTGGCCAAGGACCCAAACGAAGTACAGAAGACGATGTGCGACCTTACAAGCCACCAATCAAGTGCCGCTGTCAACTGAGCTACTTGTATGACCAAAACCACAAAATGGATGGTTTAGTGGGGATTATAGCTGTCCAGCAACAAACATCAAGGGGTTGCAAGTTGCAAATGGGGATTGTCGCTCGCAAGTCAGCGCAAGGGATTTTCTGCCAGATATTTTGGCCGTAGCTGCTAGTAGCTCAACTAGAAATGGAGAACGAGTCACTGAGTTCTTAGATGGGCAGGTGGACCGTGGACCTGTGATGACCCGATATCAGGAGTACTTGGCACGTGCAATGCCTTCACGGCAAAGCGTCTACTTGAACTTTGACCTGCTTGCCAATGCCCCAGAAATCATTTTCAGGTTCCAGAGGTGAAAAGTCACCTGAGTCACGTTCCCAGAGGTGAAGAAATCGTCTTTCGAAACCAGGCTGGTGGATCTCCCAGCATGCAACTCTTGCAGAAGTTGGAGTGCTGGCCTTAGCAATCACAAGAGAAAAAGAACATTCACTCCTCAGCACTTCCAAATACTTCCAAACTCATTACCCTAAACCCTAAACCCATCGGTGTCCCGTTCATCCAACCGATCAACCGTCTGCGCAGGACCGATCCTGAAGCCCAGCGGCTCTTGACCAACATGGCACTCTCCGAGCTGCTACAGGTGGGCCTTTCGGTGAAACCTGGTCGTCCAGATGGACGGAAGAATGAGGTGTCTCACCCACCTGGTGAGACCAAATCAACTGCACCATCTAGGCACGAAGAAACAGCGACATGTGACAGGTGAACGCGACACGTGACCAGATGTCCAGCTCCCGTTCCGTCCCGTCCTGTGCGTCCGCACGCTGAGCCCGAGCCAGCGCAGTCCTGACAGGTGGCTTCGTTGATCCAAGAAGCACATAGCATGGTGCATGGGGTCGATCGCCTTAGCTTCGCCTTGTTTGAGCCTGGCTGGTGCGGATAGCTCGATGGTTTGTACTGGGTTGACTGTTTTCATTGGTGTGCCATCGATGGTCTGTTGTGTGGGCTGCGATTTTGGTCGAACGCTCGGCTGCGATTTTGGTGTCCGGTGGGAATTTACCTCGGGGAGCCGTCCGAGTCGTTGCTAAGCGCAATGAGGATGCCATCCAACTTCCTCATCCCAGTCTACGAGACTGGTTGGCACGATTGAAAGTGGATCCATCCCTACACCCGGCAGACATGGGTGAGTCACGCGGCTGCACCTGACGGATTCATCCCGTGATCCGCTTCGGATTTGGAAGGGGCTTCAGGCTTTTGGGGGCATGGATGGGCATGGTTGTTGTTGGTGGTTTTCGCCCTTCTGCCTCTTTGTTACCTTCAATGTTCCTCTTTTTTTCCGCAATAGAAACACAGGTGACCCATGAAACTTGAGGCTTAGTGCTGCTTTGAACGATTTCCTCAAGCAGAGCCTCGGATGCAAAATGCAATTTCAGTCTTGCGGCGGTGAAGTCGGAGCCGGAGAATACTTTCTCGACCTTTGACCTGCGTTCGATCTGCGTCGAGTGACAGGAACTATGCCTCGCGCATTGCAGGGCAGGAAGAGGCCTTGCCCTCCTGCGTGCTCCGAGTGCTCCAGCGATGGGACACAGGCAGGTGCCGGAGGGGCGGAGCGGAATGTTGTGGGCGGAGCGGAGCGGCTGTTGTGCATATTGATTTATATTGCATACTTGAGCTGGAAGAATATATAAAGCTCGTGATGATGGTATCATCGAACTATCAGATGGTTTCAGACGAAACTTCAGGGAACTTCCCAACACAAATGCCTCCAACATCCTCCAACTAGGTGAACTCACGGTGTGTTGGTTGAAATATGTTGAAATCAATTGAGCCTCGTCACGCAAGTTCCACACGAGCAGAGAAATTGAGAAGTCTTCATCTTGAATGAACCCGGATTGGCCTGTTAACCAGTTAGCAGTTTGCCCATTTCGAATCCTTCCAAGGTGAACCGTGTTTGAGGCAGTCATTCATCAGGCTACTAGAAACAAGAAGCTACTAGGAGCTCCTGGCCTTACTGCTAGGAACGAGAAGCTATTAATTAGGGACTCCTGGCATCGCTATTAGGAGCAAGGACGCTACTAGGGTGGATTCTTCATTCATCAAACGCCATAGGACGCCGCAGGACCCTCGCTTCCGCAGCCTTTTTTGGTGGCTGAAAGGATCGAGGCGAAGCAATCGGTTGGTGCCATGAGGAAAAGCCGTCCTGGTACCACGCGCGGTGGGTCTTCACTCAAGCTATGGAAGGTGCAAGCACCACTTATGTTGATGATCTTCAGCTGGCCATTGTTCTCTCTCAGTGGTCCACATCTCTATTCAGAGCGCACCTTCCTCTCGAAGCCTTCTCGGACTTCTTCCAACCTTACTGTCCAAGCGCGGAGTGGAGTCAAAGACCACCGTCAAAACCGTGGAGTCTTCCATAAGCCGTCCAATCCAAAATGGACATGGCCATTAAGCCTCATGATCCTTACCTTCAGCCTATCTGCCTCAAGTGTTCAAACTTCCAGTCGCTTTTGTCGCCGCTGGTCGAACAAGCAATCGACCAAGCTACAAGCATTCGCTGGAGGTTTGGAAGGGTGTGACTATCATGGAGCAGGGCGCTATGAATTCGACCCTTCACTGGAGTGTTGGTCAGTTTCCTTTGTTTGCGTGTGTGTAGAGTCGACCGAAGAATCAAGAAGTAGTCAAGAATATCAGAGTTGTTGGAATGAGGGTTGTGACTGACAGTGACTGACTGTCTGACTGACACTGACACTGACACTGACACTGACTGGCTGGCTGGCTGGCCTGCTGGCTGGCTGGTTCACTGACTGACTGACTGACTGACTGACTGACTGACTGACTGACTGACTGACTGACTGAC